ATGGATGGATGGATGGATGGATGGATGGATGGATGGATGGATGGATGAACATAAATCATTAGGTGTTCAATATGTGTAAATCACTGTGCTAAGAATATACATAGAGAATCAAGACAGCCCCTGCTCTCAAGTTTACATCTAATAAAAGGAAATTATATATATGTGGATGACCCAGCAGTCATTAGGATGCAGTGACAAAGCAGATAATAATGCATCTTTCTTATTGTCCTTTCCAATGATAAAACTATATCTATTTTTGATGTTAAGCAATTTTACAATTCCAAGGATCTAGTAATGAAAACTTTTTTTTTATAGTTCTTCAATAGTTGTGGATGCATGGAAGGTGACAGCTATGGCATCTGTGATGGCAGCAACCAGTAGCTGGGTCAGATCTACATATATAAATGCTGCTCCCCTGGACAGCACCCTTAGTTGTAGGGGGCTAAGCTAGAAGCAGGGTCAGTGGTCTGGGAAATGCTGTTCGTCTCAGGTCACTGGGCTTACCTGCCCATCATTACCAATTGTTCAGTGGTTGGTTCAGAAAGTCCCCCTTCTCTACAAGGGTAGCCCTGTAGGGAGCATGACAATCTACATTGGTAAAGGAAATTCCTCATTCAGAGCTGCCTACAATTCCTATGAGATCATAATCCCAGTCCAAAAAAATGAACCCCTTGGTCTTACCAGACCTTGCGAATGAAGACCTAAAGCACAAACAGACCCTGATATCCACAGCTGGGAAGAAGTCTTATCTAATTTATGATTTGTGTTTCCCTGTATGCCCTTTATTGATGCTGCTAATTGTTTAAATAGTGTCTTTGGCCTTGATTAAGATAATGAGTTAATGGAGTTTTTCCCCTATAAAGAAGATACATTTTATGGCGTGTTGACTACCCATCTCAGCAAATCATTTCACAAGACTATGATATTGATACTGACAGAAGGCCTTCATTAAGCAAATAATTTGCTGTCTATAGAATAATAATCAAAACAACTTATGTGTATGCTCCTCTCTGCTCTGTACATGAACCAGGGTTACTGCTTGTATTTATTTGTGTGTCTAATTCAAATGTTTCGGTCTTGTATATAAAATTCTAGATATAGTCAACTAGGCATGGGCAGTTAGGTAGCGCAATGGATAGAGCACTGGACCTGGAGTCAGGAAGACCTGAGTTTAAATTTGACCTCAGACACTTAGTAGCTGGGTGACCCTGGGTAAGCCACTTAGCCATGTTTGGCTCAGTTTCCACATCTTAAGATGAGCTAGAGAAGGAAATGGCAAACCACTGGAATATCTTGCCAAGAAAACCCCAAAAAGGGCTATGATGAGTTGGACATGATTGAAAATAACTAAACAGTCACTGTTATTTCCCCCAGCCCATCCTGAGGATTTAGCAACCATGAACAGAATAGTCAAAGTCATAACCTAGAAGGAACATCAGAACCCATCTAGCCTAGACCCATTGTTTTTGCAATAAGGAAACTGAGGTCCAGGTCCGTACCTTTAGGTTGAAATAGGTTTGTTCTCTAGCAGATTATAAAAAAACAAGAAAGGAAGGAAGGAAGGAAGGAAGGAAGGAAGGAAGGAAGGAAGGAAGGAAAGAAAGAAGGATAAAAGTTAAAAAAGAAAAGGGAAGGCAGATAGGAAAGGGAAAGGGGAAGAAAGGGGTATCATGGAAGTCTGCATCACAAGCACACACAGTCTCGTAGCTAAGGATCTCTTAATTGCATTTGCAGGGGGGTATTTCCTCAGTAATTTTGTTTGTCTCCAAGACAAACTCTGCTTGCTTTTGTTTGAAATGCATGAGCTAGCAAGGTTGTTTTTTTTTTTTAACAAATAGCAGTATTTTTAAAAATAGCCTTAGATATTATTTCATTTTTTAATTCAATTCAACAAAGATTTATTTAAGTGCTTCCTATGTGCAAGGTTCTTTTTTCTTTCAGGGACATGAAGACAATTTAATTTCTCAACTCAAATTGTAAACCAAGGGGATCTTTCCCTGACCTGCTCTAGGTTGGTGAGATAGTTAAGGTTTCAGCTAAAATCAATGAGCTGAAGATAGGGTCACAATTACTAGAATAACTCTAAAGGTAACCTGGTGAATTTAACAGGAAGCATGGTGAATTTAATAATTTAATAGTAATAGCTAGCATTTATACAGTGCTTTGAAGTTTACAAAATCCTTTACAAATATTATCTCATTTTATCCTCAAAACATACCAGCTATCTTCATTTTAGAGATGAAGAAATTGCAGCACAGAGGAGTGAGGTGACTTGCCCAGGAACCCGCGATTGGACAATATCTGAGGCTGGATTTGAACTCAGGTCTCTCTGACTCCAAATCCAGAACTCTTCTCACTGAATTTAGAGCCAGAGGAGCTCTATTCAAGGTCTTGTTCTCCCCAGCACTACCTCTGTAATTTTAGGTCAGTCACTGACAGTTTCTAAAGGTTATTTCCTAGTTGTCCTAATTCAGAAGTTCTCCATCTTTTTTAGGTTACATACCCCTTTGGCAGTCTGGTGAATCCTAGTGATTCCTTCTCAGAATAATGTTTTTTAAGTGCATAAAAGAAAATCATGCTATCATAAAGGAAACTGATTATATTGAAAAACAATTACCAAAATATAAAAATAAAAAATATAGAGCCTAGGTACAGAACGCCTAGTCTCACTGATCTCTAAGGTCCCTTTCAGTTCTAAATTTTTATGATCCTAAGCTTTGCCAGGACCTCTCCCTGAAAAGGTCTCATCTCACCCAGAAATGTAGAGAATGCTACCATCTTAGATAGAGCTAGCACTTGACATATGAATCCCTAACTAGTCTATCTTTTTTTTTACTTTATATTTTATTTTATTTTTAATTAATTTGATTTATCAACAATCACTTCCATAAGCTTTTGAGTTTCAAATTTTTCTCCCTCTCCCTCCCTACCTCCCCAAGACGGTGTGCAATCTGATATAGGCTATACATATACATTCCTATTAAACATATTTTCAGATTAGTGATGTTGTAAATAAGAATTAGAACCAATAGGAGGAACCACCAGAAAGAGGAAACAAAACACAACAGAAGAAAAAAAGGCAAATAGTATGCTTCGATCTGCATTCAAAATCCTTAGTTCTTTCTTTGGATGTAGATAGCATTTTCTATCATGAGGTCATTGGAGATATCTTAGATCCTTGTATTGCTGAGAAGAGTTAAGTCTATCAGTATTAGTCATTGCACAACGTGGCTGTTACTGTGTACAATGTTCTCCTGGTTCTGCTCACTTCACTCAGCATCAGACCATACAAGTCTTTCCAGGTTTTTCTGAAGTCTGTCTGCTCATCATTTCTTATAGCACAATAGTATTCCATCACATTCATATACCACAACTTGTTCTGCCATTCCTCAATTGATGGATATCCTCTCAATTTCCAATTCTTTGCCACCACAAAAAAAAGCTGCTATAAATATTTTTGTACATGTGGGTTTTTTCCCATTTGTATGATCTCTTTGGGATATAGTCCTAGAAGTGCTATTGCTAGGTCAAAGAGTATGCACATTTTTATAGCCCTTTGGAGATAGTTACAAATTGTTCTTCAAAATGGTTGGATCATTTTACAACTCCACCCACAATGCATTAGTGTTCTAATTTTCCCATATCTTCTCCAACATTTATCATTTTCCTGTTTTTTTCATGTTGGCCAATCTGATAGGTGTGACGTGCTACCTCAGAATTGTTTTGATTTGCATTTCTCTAATCAATAGTGATTTAGAGCATTTTTTCATATGACTATAGATAGCTTTAATTTCTTCACCTGAGAACTGCCTGTTCATATCCTTTGACCATTTATCAGTTGGGGAATGATTTGTATTCTTATAAATTTGACTTAATTCTCTATATATTTTAGAAATGAGGCCCTTAACAGAGAGACTAGTGTAACTAGTATATCTTTTTTCCAGACACCTAGTGGTTCTGGGTAAAGGTTATATAGTCTCCAAATTACTACTCTAGGACATGAGGAGGTTAAGGGAAATGGACAAGTCAAGGTCAGTCCAATTGGCTGAGTCAGTCACCCCAAATCTAAATAGCTAGGTGAGTATACAGAGGTAT